GGGAAGAAGCCACAAGGAGGCCCAAGCTATCAGGGCCACCAAACGATGAGGAGAAACCCACAGCGGCGCCAAGAGTAGGCGCCCTCCAACTCATCAACGCCATGGTCAAGAAAGATGCCACATCAAAGCGGCCCACCATAGCCCACAAGGGGCTGAATTATGTTGACATCACCCTCGGCAGGAGGCCGACCCAAGCCTTGGTGGACATTGGGGCCACCCACAACTTCATTTCACTTGCGGAGGCAAAGCGACTCGGCTTGACCACCACCAAACAAACTRGGTGGGTCAAGGCTGTCAACTCTGGGGCCAAAGCAGTAGAGGGCACGACCCGTGGAGTAGAACTTCGAGTTGGACCATGGAAATGACCCATCAATCTATCTGTGGTTCCCTTTGATGATTTTCAGGTTGTTCTTGGAGTGGAGTTCCTCAAGCAGGCGGAAGCARCACTTATGCCACACATCAACAGTTTGCTTATTCTGGACGAACACTCCCCTTGCATGGTTCCTGTCTCATAAGCCTTGCAGATACTTGGGAAGCAGCTTTCAGCCTTGCAGTTGTACCAAGAAACCAGCAACCATGAAGACAGTGCTGCGTCAACAAGGAAGAACCCCTGTCAAGTACCTCACATCGACACTGGAACTGGTTGCGAAGTCGTCACCAGGAAGAAGTCACCCCCAAGACAATTCCAATGCCAGCGCCAACGCCAATGCCAGCGCCAACGCCAATGCCAGCGCCCAAGTCAACATCAACAGCAACATCAGCTTCAACACCAACCACATTAGCGGAAGTCGACTTCGCAGCAGAAACCGCAAGCGCCCACAATTGGTGGGCCCAATAGAAGAAGACCCAAGGCCGTGTCAAACCTTGCCCACATCTACTACCACAACCACCGGGGAGAGCGAGTGCCACCCAAGCCATCTAGGGACCACATTCACATCATCCCTAAGGCTAGTTCTCGTAGTAGCCCTGTGAGTTACCCTTGGGGAAAAATGCATGGGAATCCACACCTTAATAATCCAAAACACCATTTTGATCCTTACCTGGCCCAAACCTACCCCTCAGCCAAACTAAACCAGCCACTAACATACCTTAAGGCTGCCAAGAAAGGACTTAGCCATAGGAAACCCCAACAGAATGAGCCAACTCAACCATGCCACCAAAATATAAACCTCGGCCTTGGACGACAGCCGGTTCGGGGAGCAGCAGAAAAACCCTCCTTCCACAATAGTGACTCTAAGGGATCAGCCGAAGCCGATCTCCGAGGACGTAGATCGAATTGAGTGGGGAAGAATGTCACAGGTGACTCCTTCGCCGCGCCATCAAGCACCTACAGTGAGCCATCAGAGTGCCAACCGCGTGCCTTCATGGTGTCAACATGTGTGTCATGGGTGCGCTTTGCTTGTATTTTGTAAGGG